TCAGCTGGTGACCCTGCAGCTTGCCGCAGGAGGCCATGGGGATTCAACTGGATGATGTGGGGATTCAAACCCATGACCTCCTGAATGCAGCTTTCATGCTCTACCAACTGAGCTGGGCTGATGGGCCCGTGACATCAGGTTCTTACTTGCAACATAATGACGCAAACTACTTACTTCAGAGATCAAACATGTTATTTCAGAGATCAAACATGTTATTGGTTTTCAAAAGCCTCCAACATGCCCCCAGCCGCTTCTCAGACATGGGCGATATGTCTTTGTAAACTGGAGCCCCGATGTGTGGCAAAAAAAAGCCTCCAACATTCAACCTGCCACTTTTCAGACAATCATCCATTCTCTAATTGTAACATTGCTGTTCTGCGTCCCTTACAATCATTCGTGCCGACTGGCTGAATGTTGTACGGTTATCTCCTCATAGTATACTCTCTCACTCTCTCTCTCTCTCTCTCTCTCTCTCTCTCCCCACACAAACACACACGGTCATGCTTTTTTTGTGGAGCTGTGATTAGTGAACATGACAACACAGACACACAAGTTTCAGACTTACTGCAATTTTTGTCAGGGGTTTGGACCAGCACTCTGCGAGGATTGCAGGGTTTTTGTGAGTAAAATCAACCGCTTTTCTCAGGCGTAATGCTAACTCCAGGTGACAAGGTGAGTCCTTATCCACCAGTCAAATGCATCTTGGGACTGTCGGGGTTCAACCTCCTGATGAGTCGGTGAAAGTCCGACGAAACAGTCTGGTGCAGTGATGATTTGTTGTGGTGTTGTCTTTAGTCAACATGACAGCACATCTTGGGCAGACTGTCGGGGTTCAACCTCCTGACGAGAGTCGGTGAAAGTTCAATGGAATAGTCTGGCACAGTCATGCTTCCTCTTGTGGAGTTGTGTATAGCGAGGTGGGGAGGGAGAGATACTTGGGCATACTGTCGGGGTTCAACCTTTTGATGAGTCGGTAAAAGTCCGATGAAACAGGCTGTCACAGTTATGCTTCCTCTTGTGGAGTTGTGTGTGTGTGTGTGTGTGAGAGAGAGAGAGAGAGAGAGTCCTGCTTTTATCAACACATACTACTAAAGGTTAGTCGCCCTCGCCGTGACACTTAGTGTTTCGATGCGGGGCTCGGGTTCGTTGTTTGTTTAGAGTTCGGAATGGCGAGTTCGGCGTCCTCTGAGGTTCGCTTAGTGTTTGATGCGGGCCTATTGGTGTGGGGGTGTTCTTTGTCTAGATTCAGCCGCCCCTGTGGGTCCTTCCGTTGGCCTGCATTTGGTCTCGTTTTGGGCCTGGTGCATCCGATGTGTTTTCTGGTGAGCCGCTTTTGTTTGTCATGGCGCGGTGTCTGCCCTTGCTCGAGCTTGGAGATCTGGAAAACAAAAAGTTGCAAAAGTTGACGGCTGGTCCGGCGGTTTTAACTGGTCGTCTTCCCGGTGAAGGTGCGTCTTCTTTGCGGTGCTCGCCATCCGCCAAAATCGTGAATGAATCTGGATATACAAACTGCCACGATGCATGCTCGCTGTTGGCGGATGGCGAGTACAGCTAGGCTCTTGCTTGCTTTGTTTGCTTGGTGGTGAACTGTCAGGGCGTTAGCATTTGTGTTGTCCGGTGTTTTCCTGACGGCGGGATTGTGATGATGACTTCCGGAAGGGCTTGCATCGGGCCCTCTTGACCTGCCCGCCGTGGGTTGGGGTGATTGTGGGCCTTGCTTCCCTGCATAACATTGTGCACGCATTTGGACTCTTTGTGGGGCTGTTGCGTCGGACCTGTCACGCGATGTATCTGGCTCATCTTCTGTGCCGGTGGCCGGTTACTGTCCTCTTCGTTGCTTGGGTTGGAATCAAATTCCCGATGACCGAAGTTTTGCGGTGACTACGGTAACTGTCAGCCCTACACAACCAACTCCACAGATGACAGCGCTTAGGGCTGCGCTGACCCGTCGTTATGCAGGGAGTATACTGCTGCCTTGGCTAAGAATTCAGATGCTCAACTGACAGTTGCGATACCTCTGCTTCGAACAAGTGTATCAATAGCCTGCTAGGCAGCTCCAGTGGATTCACCGGAATCCTTGCTCGCACAAACGTTGCCTCTGGTAACTGGGTCAGACAACAATCCAACGGTTCAACTCGTTACCGGCATCTGTTCGGCTCGCGATTCGGTGGATCATTGTCGCCGTGAGTCTCTGGTCAGGATCTCCTTCCATATCGCCCCAGTGTCGAATGCTTTGTGATCATTACATCGTTCTACGCGGTGCTTTTTGTTGGGACTGGTCGACCAAAAATCTATTGTGGTTCTTCGACTGAGGTTGGCTTCTGTGTCAGTCGTCTTTTCGAAACTTTTATGGTTCCTCGTGCTCTCATTGGACTTTTGTAAGGAGGCATCCTGTGTACGTATTTTGGGATCACATTGCTGCGTTGCAACAGTTGGTCGCCTTTCCTAATTTCTCGCATTCGGCATGTATCGTTTTTTCAGTGTGTAACTCACGCGTGTCATTTGCCATGCCTGTCCATCTATGTCAGCAAGTTCTTCCCACGTCACGGTGACCTGAATAACCATTGCTCTTGCCTCACTTCGTACATATAAACGACTTGTACAAGCTTCTCCAAATTACACCGTTTACAAATGGGTGTGGAACTTCCCGATCTATACACACGGGTGTCACATCAGATCACCATGCCATGTCGAATGCCTCTCTTGTGTGTTTTCGCCTCATCGTCACTGCTTTTCCTTTGTTATGAGGTATTTTTGACAGCTCTCCGTGGGATGTCCATCTCATGTGTTTCCTTTGTTATGAGCTGTGTTTGACATCTCGCTTTGCATCATGTGTTTTCGCCTCATTTGCCACTTGGACACACTAAAATGCTCTGGATATCCATCTGCATTTTCGTGAAACTGGCAATGCAACTTCTGTCTCCTCAACTTGCCCTCGCACCCTTTCTTCAACTCTCCCAATATTCCCACTTCCAAAACCAGTGTGTCTACCCTCGACAACCAAGCCATCATTTCTACCTTGCCTTACTTTTGCCGTATTCCTCAGTGTCTGCCCTCCGCCATAGAACCAATGACTTCTATATATATGTAAATGATTTATGTATACATAAACAAACATACGTACAGAGAGTCAGAGAGAGGGAGAGAGGGAGACAACAGACTGTTAATACCTCCCTTCTCAGATCCAATTCGATGCAAACACTTTTCTGAGTACTGCTTTCCTGCTATGCGTTTTTCAACTTCATTTTTTGATTAAATTCACAGCTCGCACTTTAATCGATTGACAATTGACAGGCTGCCACTATTTAAACCTCCTTCTCACCCTCCAATTGTTACAAACCATCATGTCCTCCATGTACGCCTCAAGACACGTCCATACAACTTCCTCTCCTGCTGGGAAGGTTTTCACCTTCCGCAAATTCGCATGTTACTTCCACCCTTGAAAAACAAATGCTTCCGTATGTTTGACAAAGGTCCCCTGTGTTCCTGGACTGCCTTACTCTTACGCATCTTTCTATTTCCAGCTGTTTTCCCTGTACACTGCACTCCATGCACCTGTTCCTCGCGACTCTTTTCTGGTACTCGAAACATATTCCTGTCGCCAAAGATACTGATGTTTCTCTTCCCCAACCCTTTGAGCCGCTGGCAGGCCAATCACTCTTAACAGTACAAGATAGAAAATAGGGTTGGTGGTGTAACAACTCGTCGACCGATGGTCTAACAGAACAAAATCATACTGCATTTTCTGGCACGGTCAATTCGATGATGATACCCCACCGCTGCTTCCCTTGATAATATTGGGGGGAGAAAAAAAAAACGCCCGTGCACTGGGGCCTGAGCGGTGGAGTCAGGGCATACTCAGCTGAGCAATTTGCTGGGCCCTTCTCCCCTCTATTACAGACCAGCCTGGATCGAGGTGACTTCGATTGCGTCCGCAGCTAACTTGAAAAGTCCCATGACGACTCCGCAGCTAACTTATCAAGTCCCATGACGTTTGCCTTTTTCTTTAAGGCCCGAGCTGGATGCGCCTGTCCGGATTTACGACCGTAAGTGTGGCCCTTTCTGCATGACTCACCAAAAATGTGAAATCGAAATGAATCTTCCACTACAAGGTCCGAAGATGCACTGCCGTATCTTTCTTCTTCTGTGAATTTGGTGAGTGGTGTGTTGAGGCTTGTGCCCGGCAGAAACAAATGGGAAAATTCAGCCCCTGGATCGCCAGTGGCCCTGTTTCTCTTGGTGAGTCATGATCAATGTTGTTTTTCTCACTGTGGACATGTCTGACCTTATGCTACTGTCTATTCCACCCTCAGCTTCTCACGACCCTCTTCTCTACGGGATGCTACTCTTGTCGAGTTCCAACTCAACGCTACACTATTCTGTACTCTATAACCTGCAGTACTCTCTACTCTACACCAAACTGTACTCTACTCTGCTCTCTACCCTCTACTACTGTCAACTCTTTTCTTTGCTGTCTGCTCTCTACTGCTATGTACACTGTGTCTACACTTAACGCTGTCTACTCCGATCTACCCTACTCTCTACTCTCTACTCTCTATGTCACTCTATTGTACTCTACTCTATATTCCACTCTACTCTCTGCTGAGTCTACTCTTCTCTCGATGCACTGTAATCTCTACTCTAAGCTACTCTCTATTGTCAGCTACTCGCAGCTCTCATACCTACTGAATGGAACCCTTTCTGTGGCGGGCGGAGCTGCGCTGGCTAATCTTGTAGTTGCTGTTTCTATAATGACTCTCTCTTCCTGTGACCGAAGAGGCATATAATAGCTTCCTCTTCCTGTGTCCGAAGAGGCACACACCGACTCACAGAGAGAGAGAGAGAGAGAGAGAGAGAGAGAGAGAGAGAGAGAGAGAGAGAGAGAGAAAGAATAGCATGTACATGAGATAACAAGGAAAGTCCTAGTGTGAGAATGACGTTAGCACATACAAGGCGTATTAAGATTTTGACAGCTATGAATTCCATCTGATGCTGTGCAGGTTATCTCAGGAAGGCTGTATGCGGGGCCGGAAGTAGACGTATGGAGTTGCGGTGTCATCCTGTACGCATTGCTGTGTGGAAGTCTGCCATTTGACGACGAGAATATACCCATCCTGTTTAGGAAAATCAAGGTGAGTCCTTCAGCAGCATGTCCATGATTTTTGTGGTCTTGTCAATGGGAGTGTTATGGGACAGCCCGGAAACGTGCAGCTTTTGTGCGAGGCCTTGTTTCTTCCCTGAGTTGCTCGAGGTAGTGGGCGTAGGTTGCTGTAGTACATGAAAGGTGGAAAATGACAGAAAACTGGTTGGTGATATCTTCGTGCACTTATAAGAAGCTGCTCCAATGGTCATCCATTATTGATGGAGACCCCCCTGTTTATTCTTGTTCTTAAAGCACGTGAGGGTCCCTCATTTCTGGGCGAGGCGAACTGTGAGGATGAAGTCTGTTCTGCCACCATCTCCGCTCACCTGTCATTCTGTGCATATTTGGTTGGATCTGCTATGAAACAAGTAGTAACCCAGATCTGGTGCATCAGCTTACACCAAAAGCATCACATTCCTACTTTCTTGCAAAATGATGGGTGAAATGCACACTAGCAATAGTTTGGCACCTGATCGTGTTTCCATGGTGATGACATCTCAGCATGTTATCGGATTAATGCATGTGGGGAGAGGGACTGAGGTGGGAGGTGGAGGTTTCTTTTCACATATTTGAAGGACTCACTGCCTTTTACTTGTACGGGTGAAGTAACTTGACAGCCCGTGGCATTTGCAATGTGAAAGGGTTTCTGGTTGTCGTCATGGTGCTCATGGAAAAGATACATATGAATGTAAGGGCTGTGGAGGTTTTCACGGCGTGCCAACTTGATTGATGGTGCGAGCAAGGGTCGGCAAGAGTGGAGAAGTGTGAGCATGTAGAATCACACTTGGGAGGGTAGGCAGAGCGGGTTATGACGCCGAACCTCTGGTGAGAGGTCAGATTCAACTCTTAGCGCTTATTTGCTCTATTGCTGAACTAGTTGCCATTCTAGAAGAGTCGTGGTTGCTCTCAAAAGATGTAGTCTCCAGGGCCGTACTCAGATAAGGACTTGAGCTCTTCTTGGACTGAGCTCGGTGTGATCCATTTCAGAAAGTCCTGTAGTACGAGAATGGGCTGTGTGTAAGCGACTGCGACAGCATCGTAGTATGTGTGGTTGGCACCTCTAGAGAAAGAGTTTATGTCATGCTGAAGGTGGCCAATGGGAACAGCACCCCTATTAGGATAAGCCTGCTAAAGATGTAGATCAAGTCGCAAGCTTTGCATGTGAGGTGGTTGTGGTTTCAAGTGATGTTGTGACGAGGACTTCGAATATGTCAACCTCTTCGCAACCGCATCCGTTGCCTCCCTAAGCTGGTTGAGAGAAGAGATGCTCTGCCAAATAAAAACAGGTTCCTCTGGTGGTCATGGAAAAGTTGGTTCATGCTGCACTGTTTTGGAAAAGCGTATTCTTATGCATGCTATCTGCACCTCCAAGAGAGTCTTGGAGAGAGAGAGAAAGATGTGTGTGTGTGTGTGTGTGCGTGTGTGTGTGTGTGTGTGTGTGTGTGTGTGTGTGTGTGTGAGAGAGAGAGAGAGAGAGAGAGAGAGAGAGAGAGAGAGAGAG